TAATTTTAACAGTGACCAAATAAAATTCGTTTTCTGGGGTGGAATTTTTCTCATTCAGATATCTAAATTTCTACAGTTTCCAAGTTTCTGTGAGGATGACCTGCAAAGCATTGTTCAGATGGGTTTTGGACAGAATTTGAACCGTGAAACACGATTGCCGTCACAGGGCTTGCATGGTAATAAAAGGACTGACTACTCAGCTGAAAATCAAGTCCTTAACAACCATTAATACTTTTATTAAAGTATTAAATTGTGATTGATGATATAAGTAATCATCCAATGCAGGCTCAAATCAAGTAACCCAGATGAAAATTGAGCTTTAATCACCATTCATTCTTTGGTCCTAAATTCAAGGTCCAGAAGAAGACAAGGGCTGCTGTATATACAAGGAATATAATTTGGACCCGCACAAGAACACGAGGAGCCATTATCTTAGGTCTTAATGAAGAGGACATTTTTTTTCTTTTCTTTTTTGTCTTTGTTTTTATCTTACTTTTAGCTTCTCTCAATGATTTGGTAATTCTTTTTTTTTTTTTTTTTTGTGGATTTTTCTTACAAGTATCCACTGTAAAATTCTAGAACCGCTTCTGTATTTTTATGCAAAGTCTTATAGCAGCAGCTCTACATGTAAGATATAATTAATTATAATTAGATTGAAATAGCTTTCACTATCTCTACCTGATTATTATTATTGTTGAACAACATTGTGATGAATTCAACAAGAAGAAGATCTTTCACAAATATTTGTTATGAAACTTTTATAATATGTCACATCAAATTAGCACTGTTAGATCGCGTAATCTGGTGGATTTGATTCACACGGGTGTTAACCAGCTGTATATGTTGGAGACCTTTCTGCAATATCAAAAGTCTTAAATTGAAGTGATTAGGACATTGGTTTTGGGTGATTAGGACATAGATTATCTTCAGCTGGGGTCAACCATGATTTCTGGCAGATCTTGGCCTCCTGTAATTTTCATACATTAACCAGAAACAGAAGCTTCTGTTCCCTTTTTACTGTAACATAATCAAAATCAATCAATCTAAGATTAGAAGTTGTAACTACTACTTTAAATATTTTGTTTCATTACAATATACAAATAAAAGCATCAAAAAGAATCCCAGGTTGGCAGTGGTGAGATTCTGACTAGACCCAATGAATTATGCACCTTTATTCATATTTATTAACTCCCCAACTTTTTAATACATTTTTTTTCAATATATTATAAAAAAAACAAAAAGACTTATTGTAGTGGAGTTCAGGTATGGAAAGATACCCTTTTAAATTTATATTTTATATTAATCTTTTCGTGAGAGGTTGTTAGTAAAAATCCAGATTCTGGGGTTCAACAAAAGATTTCTGCACTGCAGCCATACTTATTTTTTAATTCACCCTTTGTATTATTGGTCTGCAGATTAGTAATTGTTTAATTACCAGAAAAAAAAAAGATTCTTTGAATGTGGAGTGTATTTAGAGCAGTTGCATTACCATTTAAATATCATAACACTAGTGGAATGGAAAAATGTTTATGTGACAGTCCTGTCTCTAACCATTTTTATAATGCCCAATCATTTTGCGACGTGTCTCACTGTCTTGGGATTCATATTTTAATTTTTTTCCTTTTTTTTTTTTTTTTTTAAATTTTTGTTTTTTCAATCATGACAGTTTAGGCTGTTTCTTCTTTGTAATGATTCCTTGTTGGATTGGTTTAATTTTCCTGACAGATTTTTGGTACGAAGATCAGTAACTTAACAAAGAGTGGGCAGAGTAATCTTGGCCGCTACCCAAATTCAATCCTAACCTTTGATAATTGATATTCTAACACTATTGACTGAATTTGGTTAATTACCTGGAAACAACTGTTGAACATTGAAATCCATATAATTTTGAAATTATTCAAACAAAATCTTTCTCCAATTCTACTATTAATTTATCTCTGACAGTAGCATGATGGTTCAAGGAAACAAGTTTTGGGTAGGGAATTTTGTAGGTCAATTGTCATTTTCAAATCCTGAAATCAATGTTGTTAATTGAAGGAAAAAAAATCTTCCGAGTCCCCGCGAATCAGCTTAGCTAGCGTTTGATCATCTCACCAAAAATGAGCCCCCCCCTTCAGAAAAAGAATGGTAAAGATCGTAGATCTTAACAACCATGATTATATTTTTGAGGGGCATTATAGTGATGATTAGGGTAGGTGTCCTCTCAATAAAGGGTTCACTATTCATTCACCCCTTTAACTTTTTCATTTGGGGTCATTTTTTCTTTCACCATAGTAAAGCTTAATCTTTAATTTAGTAAGGGAGAAAACAAAACCCCATCATTTGTTTCACCAACCATACATTATTAATTAATTTCGTGCTCTCCAACTGTAAGCGTGTTTTTTATTTTCTGCACTTTGGAAGTTTCTCACCATCAGCAATTTTTTATTTGTGTCACCGTCATACTTCATCACTTGGATTGCTCATATTTATTACACACTGTCTGGATAGGAGAAATTCTATTCCTCTTCCTCTTCACTGGGTCCCGCTACAGTACTTCTTTCTAAACCGTTGATTTAACCACTGATCATCATCATGAAAGTAAGCCCCATTACTTAATATTGACTTTATAAAATAACAAGAGACTCATTTTAACAACCTTTTTAATCATTCTAATATAAGAAGGGGAGAACTACATTTTCCCACCCAAGGTTTGACGAAATGACACTTTCACACCCTTCGTTAGGTTCTGTTATATTTTCTGTTAATATTTTATTAAAAAGACGAAAGTACCTTTAAAAATTTGACTTTAAAAATTTTTAATTAGCTAAAAAGTCAAAAAAAAAAGTTGTTAGTTCCACCTAAAAAGTTCGGAGTAATGTTATGAAATTGTTTAAATTAAATGATCTTAATATTTATTTATAATGTCATCAATATCTCATCACTATTATTTAATAATTTATTAAATTTATAATGTTTTTTATTTTTCTTAATTAATATAAAAAATCAATATTCCTAATTAATTAAATAAACAAAGAAAAAAAGTATCTTTACACTTGAACTAATAAATAATCGAGTAAAGATTTTAACTTAATTAAATTTTAATTTATAATAAACTAATTAAGAAATAAACTATTTAAGGATATTTTTACCTTTTCAGTCAAGCACTAACAGAACTTGACAAAGGATGGGAAAGTGTCATTTTAAAACTTTGACAGGTGAAAAAGTGCTATTTCATCAATCCTTGGTGTGAAAATGTCGTTCTCCCTAGAAGAAACCAAAAATCAACAATTTTTTCAGATTTTGATTTTACAATCAGAGGATTGAGAATGATACACTTGAGTTTCGTTGAATCTCTTTTCCAACCAATTCGAGTGATGCAGCTGGTGAGAATTCTCAGCCCAAACCCAAACCCAAGCCCAAGCCCAAGTAATCATTGACCTTTTAGCAAGTTTTTAAATTTTCAAGAACATGGACTGGAAAGCACTGGTCTTACAACGCAGTTTCCACGAAAAGCAAGACTTTTTGGGGCCTTGTGATGTGAACTCAAAGAATTCTCTACTCAAATGACTATAAACAGTGACAAATCATCTGTTTGTAATATAGGAAATGCAATCACACGGACACAATAACCAAGAGTAGTAGGTGAAACTTTTTTTAATCTGCCCAAACGAGAAATTCAATCAACAGTTCCTGTTGAATAATTTTCATAAGAGATTTGGACAGTTGAATAATTTCTAAGTTGGTAATTCAATTGTTTTCTAAAATTGATACAACCATCTACCAACTACTGCTTGTCTAGCCTAGTTATATGCGTGTATCTCCTTCATTCATTTATCAAAAGCTATGCTTATGAAACTGATTCAGTAGCGTAAACTAGTCAAAATATATACACACTTAAAAGAAGAACGCTGTTGTATTCTACACAATCACTAACATTTGAATCTCATTAAATCTAGAAACCAATTTAAAGGCACAGGAGAAGCCAATATCTCTTATCAGCTTTCGAATGAGAATGCCAGATGGGAAGCCCAAAACAGCAACGATTGAATTAAAACGATAACCAAATGGGCTGGTGTGGTGGACTGGTGAGTAAGTCAACCAAGCATTTTAAAGAGGAGATTCCACTTTCGAGGAAGTGTCCTCCTAGCTAATGGGCCAGACTTGACCAAATCTGATAGACAAGTCCAGAGACAGCAATCAAGGCAAGGTTCAAATGCCACCTGCATATTTTGATCATAGTAGGCCCTACGAATTAATATCTGCTGTCCTCTACTTTTTATCGGTTTTAACTCGAGCCATACGAGTTTAGGTGGTGTCAGTTCTTGAAGCTAAAAGGTCCTACATCAATTTTGTAAGGACTAACAACATGCTTGTTTCTCCCACCAACTATTTAGTATTTACACAAGATTCTCGAGAAACTTATATAAATTTTGAGTTTGTTTCTTTTGGCATTGGAAGATGCATTTGAAAGACAGTTACTGGGCTCATGCTCAACTGCCCTTAAACTACTTTTTCTCACATCCACAACAAACACTATCAGATAAAGATAGTGGGAATAAAAAGGTTTCTCCAACCCATAATATTTCACTAGAACTGATTTTGCAGAATTTTCAACTTCATAATTATTTGTTACTCTCCTCAAAGTTTCTGCTAATCTCTTTGATTAGAATATTCTACTTCGTCACTGTCTATGTCAGTGTGATATAATAAATAAGTTTAATTTATCTAATAATTAAGAACTAAAGCAAGTGCATTATTGTTAAATTATTATATTATTGAATCGTGTAAATTTATGAACAAAGGAGTTTATGTCAAAAAATGTACAAATTACACCTAACACTTTCCATATGATAAGTCAATGAACCAATCGGCAAAAGCAAACACAAATTAAAAGTACAACATACCCCACGATCTACCTCTACGGTATAACATAACATACATCAAGTGGAGATTAAAAAGGAAGCAAACATGGCCTTTTTGGTAAATATACATCTTCACCAACAAAAATAGCATAACATAAGCATAGCAAAGGCAAAGTAAAGCAGAGTAGAGCTCCACCATATTTGGTTACACTCTTACTAAATTTAGCAGAGCCCTTCATCTTCCGTATCACACTTCCATACTTGGTAACACAGATCTAACACCAACACACACCAAAACAACAACAAATACCCGTAATTGCTTTTTATTGTCACATTTAATCACATTTCTTCTAATCTATGCCTCGTCCACCAAACTATGAGTTTCAAGAATGGTGGAACAAGCAAAGAGACAATGGTCAAGAACTCTTGCAAGATAAGTCTGATGTCTCCAATCCTACCACCCCCTTCTTTGCCGTTGAAATCGGCTCCCCTAACTCCGATCCGACTGTCGAGAAGGAAGTTAGGACTCGGAGCGCTCGACAACTCTCGGGGATCTATCTCATTAAATTCCAGCAAATCGGTAACTCCCTCGCCTGGATCACAAACTCCTTAATTTATCTCCTTCGCACCGCCAATAGAAGAATCAAATCCTCCGATTCTGCACCGTCGGATTCAGCACACTCGAAGCTGTACCGTGTAATAAAAGTGTTCTTGATTGTAGTTATTCTATTACTCTGTTTCGAATTAGCTGCGTATTTTAAGGGATGGCATTTCAGTCCGCCGTCTGTGGGGTCCGCCGAGCTAATGGTGGAGTTGCTGTACGCCAAATGGTTGGAGATTAGAGCCGATTATTTAGGGCCACCGTTAAAGGGTTTGTCCAACATGTGTATTGTATTGTTTTTGGTACAGTCGGTGGATCGTGTGGCATTGGTGTTGGGATGTCTTTGGATCAAGTTAAAGAGACTGAAACCGACGGCTGTGATGGAGTATCCGGTTGGAGATGTTGAGGGAGAGAATGTAGAGGATTATCCCATGGTTTTGTTGCAGATTCCTATGTGCAATGAGAGGGAGGTAAGCAGATGTAGGTTTCGAATCCCGACTTCATTGAACCATTTAGTTTCTTAATTAAGTTACGAGTTTGTGTATTTATAGTTGTAAGCAAGTTTTGTGTTGGTTAAGTTGAGCTAGTTGAAATGTTTAATATGATGCCCGTTTAATTTTTAATAAATTAGCATAGTTACTGAATTTACATGCATCACTTTGTTGTGGTATTCAATGGCATGAACATGAATAGTGGGAAATTTCATTTATAGTAAAATTCTTCTTTAGAATTGACTGTGATGAGGTGGTATTTGTGGAAAGCAAAGAGAAAGAAGGTCAAATGAATGAAAGAAACCTTTCTGAGAAAACACTAATTGATGTTTGCTTAATTTATCATACTTGTACTCGTAGTTAACTTCTGTGATTTTGCTTCATCTATATACTCAAAATTCCGAGTACATGTTGACTACAATTAAAATGTACTTCTTTTGCCCTTTTCCCCTCAAAATTCATTTATTGTGCATTTGTGACCCTTTCTTTTGTTTTCTACATCAATAGATACTTTTGCAGTTATACTGTTATGAAAACTGCTCTTGTTTGTTTTGTATTTTTTTTGTTAACCTCATTTTAGTACTAATTCCTGATTTTTTTTTTTTAACTGATGCACAGGTTTATCAACAATCCATTGCTGCAGTTTGTATCCAGGACTGGCCAAGGGAGAGAATGCTCATACAGGTTCTTGATGATTCTGATGATTTAGATGTGCAGCACCTTCTCAAGGCAGAAGTACAGAAATGGCAACAAAGGGGTGTTCGGATTTTATATAGGCACCGTCTTATAAGAACAGGCTATAAGGCAGGGAATCTCAAATCTGCAATGGGCTGTGATTATGTAAAAGATTATGAATTTGTGGCAATCTTTGATGCAGATTTTCAGCCAGGACCAGATTTCTTGAAGAAAACCATTCCTTATTTCAAGGTAACTCTACAATCTGTGTCTATTAAATTTTTATTTGCTCAGGCATGTTTTAAAAGTTGAAGTTTGTGTGTTCAAGTACACTGAACATATTGGATTTGATAAGATTATTGAGTTATATATATATTTTTTCTTTCTTTCTTTCTTTTTTTTTTTAATGTAAAATAGGCATAAACTGGAATTTCAATTTATGCCATGCTTTGTGCTGACTGCTGATTTCAAAGTCATGGAACTATTTATAATGTGGAAATTGTGGATGTGGCCAAAAGGTGCTTTGTAATCAAGTGTATTCCATTTGGTCTTGGTGCAGTAATTTGGTTGATAATGTGCAACTATGCATGTTGTTCATTTTATTTCAACACACTATTGGTTGTTGACAACTGTTAATTTATGCGCCACATAATGACCTGATAGCTTATGAACTTTCATCTCTGCAATGGCTTAGATTCAGGAAAAAATAGCAATACTCTAGTTCAAACTCAACCGAGAAAGCTATAAATTGCTTGAGATCGTGAAATTCTTTTAGTTCAAGTGGCTGAGTTAATTAACACCTAGTGTAGGGGCCCCTAGGTTCAAGTTGTGTAGTGTAATTTGGGTGCACCCTTATGTTTTAAGGTATTGGTCTAAAAAGATTTATTTTTCCATTATGTTTTAACTCATTACTATTTTGTTATAGAGAATATTAATTTCTTTTTTCATTATTGAAGGGGAATGATGATATAGCATTGGTCCAAACAAGGTGGGCTTTTGTAAACAAGGACGAGAACCTGCTTACAAGGTTGCAGAACATAAACTTATCATTCCATTTTGAGGTTGAACAGCAGGTCAATGGTATCTTCATCAATTTTTTTGGTTTCAATGGAACTGCTGGTGTATGGAGAATTAGAGCCCTTGAGGAATGTGGTGGTTGGTTGGAACGAACAACTGTGGAGGACATGGATATTGCTGTTCGTGCTCATCTTTGTGGATGGAAATTTGTATATCTAAATGATGTCAAAGTATGTGATTTATCTTCATTTGTGGAGTTCTATTTCTCATTTTGAAAATTGGTTTCTAATATTGGCTAATATGCTCCTTTTGTAGTCCCTTTGTGAGCTTCCAGAATCCTATGAGGCATACAAGAAACAGCAATACCGCTGGCATTCAGGTCCGATGCAGTTGTTCCGGTTGTGCTTTGTTGATATACTCCGTTCAAAGGTATGGAGTTTCATATAATTATAGATTATATGCAGGCTATTTGATTTATTTGCAACACTGCTGGCATTTTTAGTGAGATAAATTTACTTTAGCGGTATAGAAATCCTAGATAATTAGCAAAATTATCAAGTTCAACAGATTTTACTTAGGTAGAAGGTTACTAAGGATTTTCTGGCCACATCAGATTTAACTCTCTACAACGAATAAACCAGGAATGTTTTATCATGCAGTTTTGACGTAGATTTGAAGAAAAATCTGTATATGAACGTGTTTAAATGGAAACTAAAAATAAGTTGAATATAAGGACTTTGAGTGCTAGAGTCTTTGGGAAGTCTGGACATTATGAGACACCCTTTTCATCATATTTACATTTTCACCTGTGCAATGATGGGATGAATATGTTATTATAAATGTTTTTCTTGCCAATATTTGATTCTGAAGTCAGTTATTGAATCAGGTTATCTATATTAAAATTATCTCTCATAGAATTCAAAGGCATGGACTGGTTAATCTTGTGACTGTGGTGGCCTTAATTGTTGATATAAAGTAATTAAGTTCAAGAATGTATGCCTGTTGTTAATGCTGCTTTTCTTTATTTCAGGTGAGTTGGACCAAGAAAGCTAATTTGATCTTTCTTTTCTTTCTCCTGCGGAAGCTTATCTTGCCCTTCTATTCATTCACTCTCTTCTGCATCATACTTCCACTGACCATGTTCATACCAGAAGCTGAATTACCTGCTTGGGTTGTTTCTTATGTGCCTGGAATCATGTCTATCTTAAATATCCTTCCAGCACCACGGTCATTCCCTTTTATTGTCCCTTACCTTCTATTCGAAAATACCATGTCAGTTACCAAGTTCAACGCCATGATATCAGGATTGTTTCGTTTTGGAAGTTCTTATGAGTGGATAGTTACTAAAAAGTTGGGAAGATCATCAGAAGCAGACCTTGTTGCTTTCGCTGAAAAGGAATCTGAAACTCTAGTAGATTCCAGTAGTCTCCTTAGGTCCTCCTCAGAATCAGGCCTTGATGAGCTGAACAAACTAGAGATAACCAAGAAAGCTGGAGTAAAAAAGAGAAATCGTTTGTATAGGAAGGAACTTGCTCTTGCATTTATTTTATTAACTGCTTCGGTGCGAAGCTTGTTATCTGCTCAAGGAATTCACTTCTACTTCCTATTATTTCAAGGTATCACTTTCCTTGTTGTTGGTCTTGATTTGATTGGAGAGCAGGTAAGTTGACCCTTCGACTAGTCAAGTAGTGTTGAAAGCCCATAACATAACTTGGAACGCCCGGAGATACTGCCTCAGATTTGAAATTCATTTCAATGTTGATCCTGATTTGATAGGCTATCAAGGAAAATCTCACCCGCCATTAGAGGTCTGGGCTCTTGATTTGATTGTTTTAGTTGGCACTATCTATCATTTTGATTGGCCGTTGGTTAAGGTAAATTTGACTCACAATTGCTGAAGATAAGAAAGAGACCTCGAGAACTAGTGAGGGAGAATGGATTCTTCTACCCGGCTGATTTGTTTAGTTCATACTCTGTATACTTTCTTGCCTGTGTGGACTGAGGCAAGCATTGTCAAATTATTACATTTTCATTCTTTATTATCATTGTTTTCAGATTGTGTGCGATTACTTGCACTATTTTATCCAGTGTTAATTTAATTGATGTTCCCATAGAAGTGGTATATCACTACTATATCTTGTTCTAGTGAGATCAAAATGTAAAGTTCAGACTATTTTTTATTTGAATCCAAGATCTATAGAAAGAAAATGTTCAAGCAATAGAATGACATCAACATTTTCTTTTATCGTAATTCAGAGGTTAATTTGTTATGTGATTTTATTTTTAACCTGATTTTAGAATATTTTTATTTAGAACCTGAAGGCCTTCATTTAAACTCATCTAAACAAAACCTCTATACAATCATTGTTTTATATGTTCTGTTTCTGTTTACATATGTACGTAGTTCAAGAGATGAATTTGCTAAAATGAATATTGTGCCTAAGCAAATGAAAATAACTTTGAATATTATTTATATCATTTAATATTATTAGATGGAAAACCAGTAGTCATTCTGATTTCAAACACGATGACAATTCCAATTTCAAAACTTTAATCAAAACAAAATAGTATCTTTTCTTAATGCCGCAAAAGAATTATCATCTGACAGGCAGAGTCATCAAGAAAATGCCTAGATAGTAAAATGTTTCATATTAATTATGCTAAGTCATATCATCCTCTTAAATGACAATGCTCAAAGGGCCAACCAAACCTAGAACAAGCAAAATCAACTAAATGACACCAGAAACAGGGTAATATTGAGTCTAAGCAGCAGCTCCGGCACCCTTGCCCTTCTTCCTCTGGAGTTTCTTCATGTAGAACTCCAGCTCTTTGCCTTCCAATATGTACCTATTGATACATACAAACCAAAGAACAAACCAAGTCAGGCATACTACATGACAAGGTCAGTTCTACAAACCCTGTTACCTACGAGGACTTACCCATCAGCTCTGCCACACTGGCCTGGGCGAGAAGAAATGCAGGCTAACAACCTACCAGCCCCAAATTGCTCTTCAATGTGGGAATCAAGCTTACGATCCTTCTGGCGCTTTTCAAGCTTCCTTGCAACATGGTTACTCTTCTTAGATTCTTCTGCTGCTGCAGCTGCACCTTCTCCCTCCTGGTATTATTCACCATCTCACAGTTCATTAGAAAAACCGATGAAAATTTACAACAAATGGAAGGTGAAAGAAATAGTTGAACAAAATGACACAGATTTTGAAAGCATGAATGGTTACTGATCCATTAAAAGAACACCAGAAGCAGTAATTTGCAATCAATCACCTTAACAGAGCAAAATCATTATACAAACGGGCGAGTCAGAAACACCGAAAATAAAGAGGTCCAAAAGCTGTTCAAAAGTAACCAAGTGCAACATAAAACGGGACAAACATGTAAATCAACATAATTGGTACTTCAGTATCCAAGAGAGGTAACTGAAAACATGAATCTTTCATTTTGTACTATGATATAAGCAAACATATCCTACACACATTAACCACAAATATATGGAAACCATTCAGATATGGAGATGATTATCTTAGCTTCCAAGTTTTTGGGAAGAAAAAAACACCATAGATACCTCTGTAGTTTCCTTCTTAGAAGCTGCTGCCTTCTTCTTCCTACCAATGTCGACACCATAGTGCTGAAGGTACCACTGCTTAAATGGAGCAGCATCCACCTGAACAATGGCACTCCTCACCAAAGTTTGTGTCCTGACAAGTTCATTGTTCGATGCATTGTAAACCACATCAAGGATACGGGTCTTACGTGTGACAGCCTCACTACCCCAAGAGTAGTTTCCCGTGTCCAATCTCAGGGCCCTCCACTTGACATTGCCTCCTCTGACACGAACCCTCCTCACAGTCTTATTGCTGGAGAGCTTGGTATTAGCAGGTTGACGACCAAGTTCATACCTTAATAAACCAACCAAACATGAGATAAATAAGCAAACATTAAACGATAATTAGCCATATCTTGAAAAGTGATCAGTAGGGATCAATATCTCAATCATCTACTGAAAGCCCACCCATATAATGGTCCCGGTTTCTAAACCCTGTTAATCATAAATCAGCCTACACAGAAAACTAAACTCAGACATAAATGGTACATGCCCTGGTCATATACGCTTATCTGCTAAAAGAAAAGCATAAAATATGACACATAATGAAGAAAATCAATATCAAGGATAAATTTTCCCACAAATTCATTGATCTCTTATTGTAAAACTAAAGGTTAACCACAAATCAAGTGACCAAAAGTCACCCTGTAACATAAACATACGGACCTTAACGGTTAACATGAATATGTAAATAAACATATAACATATATAAGAGAAAACCGGAAGAAGTACTTACTTACGCTTCTTCCTCCAGGCTTTCTTCTTGCCACCAGTGGCACGCCTCTTGTGCATAGAATCCCTGGAAATACCTGAATATTCAACAAACTAAAAATGTCACAAAACATTTTCAACAAACGAAAAGAAAAGGAGAAATCTATGTTCGAGTTGTATTGATATTCCAGTAAAATGGAGAAATTAGAAGAAGAATTGAGAATGAGGATCTGCAACATACCCATCTTGCCTAAGCGCCGCTGCTGCCTGACACTCACTCTCTCCCTCTCGCTAAGCGACCACTAAACCCTAGTTGCCTCATTTATCAATGGAAGAATTGTAATATAGTAGCTGGAGGAGGGTATATTCGTCATTGTGAAAATTAGGACCGCCTGTGAGCGAATTGTATACATTTTGCGTGCGCTCAAAATATTGGAATAAAAATACCATTTTAACGATTTTAGTAAATAGATAGTGATTAGTAAATATATCAGTAAACTATATTTTAATTATCAACATAATTTAAAATAAAAAATTAATAAATTGTCACATACATGTTTAATTAACCTTTTAATATTTTCAAATTCATGTTATTTACATAAAAAAATTATTTTTTAAGAAGATGACACAATATAAAAATCAAAGGAGTGTCAACAACAGTGACACTCTTAATATCCGTTCTTTTTCCACAAAAATCAATGTAAATAATAAATCTCTTTCATCACTTAGAACTACTTAGATGTGTTATAGAATATTTTTCAGTTATATTATAGATTAATCGGTTTCTAAATCTAACCCGATAAATTTATACAAGACATGACGTACTTATAACCCTCCCCTATTGCTGCGATGCGATTGTGAAATGAAGTTTTGTTGGTAGTAACCAAAACCTTTGTCTACTTCAATTTAACTAATTTCCTGTCCTCCATAAAAGATTTAAGTCTCATCATTTTAATATACATGGTTGCGTTCTAAATTCAGCATCGAGGAATACCAATATCCATTCAGTTGAGCACTCAAATTCCCAGTCGTTACTGAGTAAGCAATAATTGATCATTCTCGTCAACATATGAATTTCAACTGAGATGTTAGGTTTCTGTTGCATTAAGGCATGACACGGTGACGTTCCTTCTATTTTGTGTTCTACCAACCATCGTTATAAGATAATATAAAAATAAATAGTAATAATTAAAAAAAAAAAAACATAGATTAGATGCAACATGTTAAAACATTAGGCATCTAAAAAACCTAAACTCACAAATACAAATTTCTACTTCACTTGGTTTGGTCTTATTAATCTCCTAAAATATATAGTTGCATGCATTCTTAAACAAAAAACCCAATAGAAGGAGAGAGTAAACAGAGATCTCTTGGCAGCCTCCATGGTGAAACTACACTCCCCTCAATGCTGCAAAGAACAAGTAAATGACAAATCTATGGAACTGCTTCACGAATTTGTCATAGGTGAAAGCCAGAATGGATGGAGAGCAACCAAACAACCCAATCTGTCATACATCTGATGAGTTGAATACACCATTGCAGTGTCCAAACAAGTAGCTTCTGGAGTAAGAAAATAGTAGCATGAGAAAACTCCAACCAGTACACTACTTCCTATAAACTGGTTGAAGCAAAACATGGAAGCAAAATAAAATTCTATTCAGCCATAAGCTCCACACAAGACGCACCATATGAAGGTTTGGATTCTTGGCACAAACTAAATAAACCGTCTACTCATCACATCCAGGTGCTACCCATGCTTCCTACAAAACAATACCTGAATTCTAGCAGGAAAAGAAAAATAAATAAAAGGCCTTTAAATCACTACATTGTCCAGGATCAAAACTTGCAATTATAAATTTAAAAATAGACTCAAGAAATAACATGTACGAGTATGTTCAACACCAAGGCACTCCTAATAATGGATAATGTATACAATAATAAGACTGCCAATAATAGATTCTCAAGAGAATTGACTTCAGATGCAAAAGAGAGCAATTAAATAGTAGAATAAGTAGATGACTTGCTCTGCCTAAGCAAAACGAACTCCTCTAATTTTCACTGCACCTGAGAGACATGCCAAGAAGCTGGATCTGTAGTAGATATCAAATTTATCATCAGTTTCAAAGACGCCAATAAGAGGTCTCAAATAGTTACTCTAAAGGTAAATAACAATATTTCATCCAACATATAACATCATAGAAGGTAGAATAAAAGACTCCGGTCATATTATAGGGAAATTGTAAAACTCTAACAGTAACAAGGAAGTTCCAACAAAAACCTTATAAAAACCCCTGTTAAGGAACCCACTATCTCTTTCTACCGCCACGCTCTCTCAAAGAAAGGGCAAGTGTTTCCCCTGCTCCAACATTATAATATGCCAGCGACATATTGTCCTTAAGAAAACCAGCTTTTCCACTCAATTTCTGTTTGTTTGCAGGAAGTTGGATCTCCCCGGAAATTTTCTCCTTCAAGCTGGCAACAGTTTCAGATAAAGACTGCAATGTAATCTCCAGGACTTGCCCTTTGAGATTTCCTTCATCAACATTGGGAACAGACACATTGATGCGAACAGGTCCCTGCAGAAAAAACACAATATCAATCAGATCAAGTAGAAATTCCTCAACTGTAAGTTAAAAAGGAAAAAGGAAAAAAACTCTTCAGGAGAGAACAAACAAATTTAAAAATATACTCACCGGATGTTGGGCCAAAAACTGATCTTCAGGAATAAGCATAGAATCATCAACCTTCTGCCTCTTTGGCTCTGGTTCATCAGGAAGTGGAGGAGGAGCTTCTGGTGGTGGCGGAGGAGGCATTCCTTGTGGCAAAGGCGGCGGCTGCATCATAGGCATGGAAGGAGGTGGAGGTACTTGGAGATGGGCATAAGGTTGGGGTACCGGCATGGGCGTAAACTGGGATCCAGGTGGGGGAGGTACAGGCATACCAGATGGATTCATAGAAATTGATGGAGGCAGTGGAGGAGGTCGACTCACCATGACATGTTGCTGTCCTGTCATTGGCATTGAAGGAGTGGGTGGGCGCATTGATGGCATCACCTGCATGGAATATGGCCTTGGCTGAGGTACTGGCATCCCACCACTAGTTGGAGGTGGGTAATGGATTGTGTTTGGAGGCCCACGAGGAAGATTCAAGGCAAGTCCTGCTGGTGGGGGGAGAGGACGCAAAGAAGGCAAACCAGGTCGAGGAGGAGGAGCTGCAGGACCAGGTAGGTTTCTGAAGTCACTGTTGGCAGCATCATTTTGATCATCTCCATTCATATTTTGAGACAAGGCTTGATTTGCTGTGCGCCCAATGCTTCCAGTATGACCATCCCATATGACCTGCTTTGGTTGTTCATCTTTCTTCTTCTCAATCTCAGCCTTAACTGCATTAGAAACTTCTTCCTCTGTGGTACCAAAGATATCAGGTCGTGTCCGTGCCAGTCCCACAATATTTCTAGAGATCTCATCATCCTGAGCAAGAGTTGTCTCTCGAATCTTAGCAAACATCCTTTCTTTTTGCTCCTTGTACTTCGGATCAATAAGGGAAATTCTCATGTGTTCAGACATCTCATTAATAGGAATGAGCTCGCCAGTAATGGGAGAAACAACATACTTTGTTGGATCTCTTTCAGCAGGGATCCTCTCTTCAGGTCTCTTCCAGTTCTTCACAATTCTCATAGGTGGTTCTGGTTCCTCATTTGCCTTAGTCTCTTTTTTTTCATCATCATTCTCCTCAAGACTAGCAGCCCTCATGCCCTCTTCAACAAGCTGCACCTCTTCTTCATCCATTTCCATTTCTACCTCTTTTCCAGGTTCAGGAATCTCATCTTCTTCCATAGAAGTTACCTTACTCCTCCTTATAACCTCCTCAAGAGTCATAGGAGCAGGTAGGTCATCATCCTCATCATCTGCAAAGTCTATTGTCTCAACAACAACAAAATCATGCCAATCAATCATAGCCATTTGCATCCTCTCCTGCTCAATCTCATCCTCAGCCTTTTGCCTCGCCTGCTCCTGTGAACGCTCCCATTCCAGACGATGCAAGCATCGTTCAAGGACAGTTGTCATGTCAGCAACGCTCTTCTTCAATTTCTCTGTCAACCCCTTTGGAGGCATCAAGACTTTTGAATATGCATCAGCAAGTTGAGTAAAAAATGTAAACATACTGTGTGTTGGCTTCAGAAAATGGAACTGCGGATTGTTGATCTCCCTACTAGTCAATCCTGTCAAGAAGGATTTTCCATTTCGAGCCACAAACTGGGCTGTGAGCTTAATGATATCCAGTTCTTCACCAGTAATCCCTTCAGGGAGCCGCACAGTATACTGCTCTGCTTCTGGGGGCTCAAGAACTTTACGTATGGTCGGCTTAAACTGGGCAACAGTATCTGGTTTCGCATCAGCATCATTACTATCAGCAGCGGGAGCAGATGGAGCTGATTCAGGCACAGCAATATCTAAAGGTTGAGAAGGAAATTGCTGGGTAGAAGATTGATTCTGTGCGCGAAATTCCGTCAACCGATGTTGATAATATGCATGGTAAGGATCCGAGCTACTCAAAAAATTGAATTTTGCATTGTTTGCATTGTTGGCAATAATCCTCTTCTCAAACTCCAGTCCGTTCTTAGCAACAAACTGAGCAGTTTTGTCAACAATGTTTCTGATATCTGGAGGTGGATGTATGATTCCAATTGTTCTTGTGTGGGTTGCAACTGATACAGGAGCTGAGTTAGTTTTGCTCTGCTCCTCATTTGAAGGTTTCTCTTCCTTCTCCTCTGTCACTTGAGATGGGGGAAGAGGGCCAAGATCCCCATCAGAAGGAGGTGCAGGAAGAGGCAGGATTGGCAATGCGCCTAACATTTACTCTAGGAAGAAACTACAAACTTTTTTTTTTAAATTGGAACAGCAAATAGTTTCAAAACAATTTCATATAGAAATAATAATCTGCAATATCTTAAGGGGTTTCACCCAAAGAATACTTCAGTCCAGAAAGATCTTCCTGCAAAAAACAAAAAACAAAACAAAACCATATTAGTCAAGACCGTATCAATCTGCTATGATTAATCCCAAAACAGCTCATTTTTAAGGTCTTATTAAACTGTCACATACAAACACACAGCATCCTCTTCCCCACAGCGCAGGTAGCCAAATCCCTTCCTAAAAGCAAAAACACGACCACTAAACTAGAATCAATATTTTCACTCCAAAAGACGACATTCAAAGATTTCAAACTTGGATTGTGTGGCTAATAAAATAGCAGTATTATTAATTTAGAATACTTTGGAGACTACAGAAATAAGCACATATTGAGCTATAAATAACATCCAGTAAAAGGAATAATCACTTCAGCAGTTGAAATCGTTAAGCACGTAACAGGAAATCTAAACCCTAGAGACAGACAACTAAAATAACCAAATAAGCATCAAAGAAGAACTATTTTCATTCAGCCACAGCAATTATTTTTAAGTAAAACGAAAAGAACAAAAGAAGGAGATTACCTAGAGCGTTTCACCTAGGGTTTTTGCAAGAAATAGGAAAAAGACATGAAAAATCGCAAATAAATAGGTTGCGAACGGATCTATTTATGCTGTCGAAGAAAGAGGGAGGGAGAAAGGGAGGAGTCAATAATGTAGGGTTAAGAGAAGCAAGGGAAGGTAGACGATAATTTTGAAGAGCGATATGGAGAGAGAGGTTATAAAATGGCGGTGATCTAGAGAAGGCGTGAAAAAATGAAATAATGGAAATTACAACTTGTAATTAGAATTGATGGTTTTTATTGTTCCTAGAGGCACTTGGCTGGAAATTTCCAATTCATTTTAGGATTTACAATAACAAAAAAACAATTTGAATGCGCTTTGAAAATATTATATACTCTTAAAAAATATTATATACTCTTAAAAGTTAATATTTCATTTAAATCTTAGGATAAATTTTAGTTTTTTTTTATTTTTCAAGAGCAAAAATATAAAATATAAAAAGTAATATGTAATATTTATTTCAAAATAATATTTTAGACACTCTTGAAGTGTACGTAAGCTAGCTCGACACCTATCATAAAAAAAATAAATTATAATCAAACTAATTTTACGATCTTTTCTAAATAATTGATGTGATAAACCCCTTTATTTGTTGGTTTACACATAGTATACTCAAGAGTATGTAGGGATGAGCATGTTCGTTGCCCTCATTGGACCTGCCCTGAATGGGAAGGGGATCAGGGGCAGATTTAATGAATGACGAATGGGGATCATGGCCCCCACTCAATTCTTTTTTTAAATTTAAATTTTTCTCCTACAAAACTTTAAGATTTTGAGAACAAAACAACTCGACCTCATGGTAGTTTGGATTTTGTTTTTGTAAAACCTCGTTTTTAATTATAATATATTTATTATATGTTGTTTGTGATTTTTATTTTTATGCACAGGGATCTGTTAGTTTTTAAAAGTTTTATTGAGAGTGAAAATGAAAGGAATAAAAGCTGTTGGATTTGCAGGGGAGAAATCTGGGCATTTTTACAATAGAAAGTAGATAAACTTAATCCTTTTTGTTCTCCTTTGTGGGTGATGTGCTTGAGGTTATTGAAGAAGGTGGTTTAAATCCTGAACAAAGGGGTGAAACATGTAATCTATTAGATTTAATCTTCCTTTGATTTTGCATTTAGCTTACATTTGATGAAAAATATATTAACAATTACTAATGAGTTGTCACAAGCATTGCAGAGAAAAGATCAAGACATTGTAAATGCTATGATCCTAGTCAAAGTCTCTAAACAACGGTTACAATTGTTGAGAAATGAATGATGAAAATCTTTGATGAGTGAAATTTCTTCATTTTGTCAAAAGCATGATATTGCCATTTCGAATATGTATGGTATGTTTGCAATTCAAAGGCGGCCACGACGGAGAGTTAAGCACATGACAAATTTGCATCACTATCGAGTTGAATTGTTTTATACAGTGATAGATATGCAACTTCAAAAACTTAATACTCGTTTCACTGAGAATAGTACTAAGTTGCTTCCTTGTATGAGTAATTCATTATCTACTTTTGACAAGCATAAGTTGATATGTTTTGCCCAGTTTTATCCATCTGATTTTTCAGCACTTGAGTTTATGGTACTTGAGAACCATGCTGAGACTTACGTTATTGACGTGCATTCTTGTGATGAATTTGTTGAGTTACAAGGAATCAGTGATTTGACTAAGAATTTAGTTCGGTTTAAAAAAGACATTTTTTATCCGCTAGCGTATAAGCTTGTAAAACTTGCATTTGTTTACTAGTTGTGACTGCGACCGTTGAAAGGGTTTTTTTGGCAATGAATCTTGTGAAAATTCGGTTACGCAATCGAATGGGAGATCAATTGATGAATGATTACTTAGTCACCTATATTGAAAAAAATGTATTTGATACGATTGACGATGAGATAATTATCCAACGTTTTTAGAATATAGAAACTCGTCGAGGACAATTGTAGAAAAATTGTTTTATTTTTACAAAAATTGTGTTTTTTGAAGATCTTTACTTGTATTTTGTAACTTTTTGTTGAAGCTCATCGTAATGAAAAAAAAAAATATATGAATATGATTAGTTTTATTATTTTTTTTGTTTATTTTTTGCCCTCATCGAGTGAAATTCTTGGATCCGCCATTGGTTATAATTCCCTGATTTGATTGTGGACTGGGTTGGACTCGAGCGCAAAAGCAATCCTCGAAGTCGGGGACAAAGATGGCCTCGTCCCTGGCCTGGCTGACCCCGAATTAGCCCCGCCCTACCCCGCCCCATATCTATACATAAAATTTTGTGAATGCTTTTGAATATTGTTAAAATTTGATACAAAAGATATTATATTTAATTTTTTAAATGACACAATATTATGTTATTTTGATGCAATTTATATTTTCTCATTTTAATTAGAATCTAATTGTCATTAATAGCCCTACTTCAAATTTTTAATCAGGTTTAACCATTTTATTCTATATTAATTTGAATAGTTAAAAATCAATCAATGAAACCATAAATTATACATGAACAAATTAATTACTTAAATCAACATTTAAAATCTTTGTAAATTAAATTTATCAATTAATTAGAAGAAAGAAGAGAAACTTTATGTGATATTCAAAAAATTTATACATTTTATTATAAGGATGAAGAGACATAATAAGTTGTATCATATAAAAACACACATTTTAATTATTTACTAATGTAAAAGAAAAACACATTTATCAAGAAATTACCACTTTAATAATGAATTATTTCACATTATTAATTGATCAAATTCAAATGTGATTATAATAATATAATCGTGCGATGAAACCATACACAATGAGTAATAATAGAGAAATTGTTTATATTAAATATAATAAGTTAAATATACATAAATAAATTACTTGATATATATATGTAAATGACTAAAATTAATATATATGTGATATTATTGATAGATAATAACATATTTTTTATTCAAATAACTTGTAAATGTTAATATCATAAATACATAATATATATGTATTAAGTCATTTAAATTAATTAATAATAAATTATGGTAATGACATTAGGAATATAATCATAGTTATTTATTTATAATTTATCTTAAATTCTATATAATAATTTGATAAGAGATTTAAAAAAAAAAAATCTTAAATACACATAATTTAAAAAAAAAATCTTAAATACACATAATTTATCATTTATCAAATAGATATAATGTATCATTTCATAAGAGACATTTTTTGATAATTTGATAAGAGACTAAAAAAAAAGGGATATAAAGTCCCTTAATAATATTAATATAGTACAAATATAATACTATAATAGTGTTAGTATATGTATCATTTGATTCATTATAAAGTTTTTTTTTTGGAATCCCCAAAATCCTCGTAGGCTGGATTTGAAGATTCCTCGAAATCCCTGATTTGGGGATAGGCCGAATTCGGGAAACCCCCTTGGGCTTCGGGGTCGGGCTCGGAGACAAAGATCCCCAGTCCTAACCCGACTCGTGTCTATCTTTAGATGTATTACTCAAGATGTCATGAGTTTGAGTCTCTTCTCGGGTGCTAATAGAGATAACCTCTAGAGCTCTTATATAACCGATAGTTTCAAGGTCCTGAAAGATTAATTAAAGTATGTGTAAACTAAATTAAACACCTCATCATAAAAACAAAAAAAAAATTTGTAATCAAACTAATTTTACAAACTTTTCTGTATAATTGATGTTATAAACCCTTTTATTTGTTGGTTTACACACATTATACTTTCATTTGTTGGTTTACACATATTATACTTTCATTTTATGTCACAGCAATTGATATGAAATAAGTTTTACATCTCAATTCAATAAGGACTAGGAGAACTATAGTTATAGCACGGAATAAAATTTAATTTGATTTACTATAACGTATTTACTCTTCAAATCAAAATGTAGGGTTTTACAGGAAAAAATGGGGAACATGAGCCTTCCTTTTATTTGCGATGGTCAAGATGATTCGATGATCAGATAGTTTAGCCAAATAGTTGAAAGGGTAGCATATAAGATTATTTTATTTTATTTGAGACATATACAACTTTAGATTGCGTTAAATTCTCAATTTGCATTGGTGTATTTAACGAAGTTAAACAATAACTAAACACTATCCCAATGGAATCACGTTATGATAAATTAAAATTGACATTAGGAATAACATTTATTCAATTTAAATATTAACTTATCAAATCTAAGATGCAACCAAATTTCTTTATGTTGTTAACACAATTCATTGATAAAATTATGGTCAGTTTCACAGGCAATAAAAGGTCCAACACAACTTTCCATTCTTGGTCTTATTATCTAGGCCGAAAGACCAAGAAAAATTAGATTTTTTTGACTCCATTTATGCCTTGCTGTCAATGCTCATGGGCTCTGCCTCCTTAGCTTCTGCTTTCTGCAAATTCCAGAAAAAGATAACCATAAGAATGTAATAAGAAGAACAGAACCAGAATAATAACAAAGTAGTCATCGTGAAACATTGATCTCCAGTCATTAAATTTATTCATCAAAGAATGCCTAAACCCCATATCCTAGGCTACAAGTTTTGATGTACGAATATTGGTACAAAAATCAACTCCCACCGCCTCCAAGCCCAATTAATGCTTGACTTCTATCCTTTTAAATCTTATTATTAAAAGCATGTAAAATAGATTTCAGCCATGACTTTTTTTTATATGAAGCAGAAGACGGAAGACTCTATCATTGCTTATTTATCCATTCTGTCTGAAGTTGAGACTTACATTAGACTCAGAGCCCAATTTACTCATCTTGGCAAACATGTTGCCGTAAAACTTGGCCTCCTTTTTGTTGAATTCCTTCAGCTTCTCCTTCAAAGTTTTGTATTCCTGCTTGACATCCCTGATTCCCAGAAACCAGAATAATAAAAATGATGAAATTAATAAACTTTGAAAGAGGTGATTCAGGCAACTATCTCTAATTCTCTATGATCAAATAAAGGTATCAACACAGACTTCAAATTTACCTGTTGTCAGGATCAATCTCAAGTGCTTTCTTGATATCAAACTCGGCCAAATCCAAATCCGACATATGAATGTATGCCTGTGCCCTTCTATACAGGGCTTTAACATTTCTACTCTCCAACTCAAGCACCTGAATGGACATTATAAATTATCAAAACAGCAAAAAAAATCGAGACAGAAGGATGAGAAGCAAACATTTAGTTGGGCATCCAAACCTTGGTGCACAATTTTTCTGCCTGCTTGTATTCTTTCAATTTTAGCTTGCAAGCAGCATCATTCAGATTGCAAGCAACCTTCAGTGCCTTTGCCTGCTTTTTCTCCTCTTCACTGAAGGAAGAATCATACTCAATGTACTTCACAGCCTGCATATAAGAAGAGCACACAAATTGAATTGATCCTAGCAATGAATAGATCAAATTGTAAAGGAGTCATACAACTTTTTAAGTAAATCATACCTTTTCATATTTCTTTGAGGCTCTTGCATATTTGCCTGCCTTGAACAATGTATTGCCTTCTTCCTTCTTCTTACCAGCAGCTTCAATCTTTTCCTGGGTGTTCATGTCCCATGATTCCTTCTCCTGAAGAAAACAATAATGGTGAATATACATAAACACACATCACCACAATATATATAATCATATAACTTAGTCAGAGCACAAACACTTCCAGGCCTACAGATCAACTAACCTTGGCAAATGACACCAGCTCAACCTCATAGTACACAGTTGAGTTAGGAGGTACCACAGCCAGGTCCTGCTTTGACTCAGATGAGCCAAAAGCATACTCCGGTGCTATAGTCAGCAGAGCTACCTCATTTTTCTTCATTGTCATCATGGCTCTATCAAGCCCCTCAATAACTTGTTCTGTCACAAAAGTCAGATCATACTTTTATTACTATCAACAGGAAACTAGAAATCTGAAGAAAAGAAAAACGATTGCCAATGATCTTACTACCTTCATCTGTCTTAAACTCAAACAGTTCCTCTTCCTCACCATGGCCCTTTTTCAAAAACACTGTACCATCTTGCAGTTTCCCAATCAATTTCACTGCCAAGAAAAAGATCAGAGTCTCAGAAATTTTGCACTCACTCAATAGTCAAACACAATATATTCATCTCCACTTTCTAAACCAACCTTTAACAACTGATCCATCATTGGGACGCTCATATCCCTCCCCTTCTCTCAGGATCTTCTTGATAACCTTCCTGTCATCAGTTACATCGGACACAGTCTTCCATGAAACTAACTCCAAAGCAATCTGAAGATTGGCATTTGGTGGAACTGCACCTTCATTGCCCGAAGCATGTTTTCCCTTTTCTCCAAATCCATCTAAAATAATAAAGGCAAAGGCAACAACATCAGTAAATTGCACTAAAGCATGTCATCTCAACATAATCAGGTCCACTTGGTAAAACCCTACATTGTGGCTTCACTGTAAGAAGCACTTTCTCTCCCTTCTTCATTGTCTTAACAGCACTCGACAATGCAGGACAGAAATGACCTGAAACAAAAACAATAGTCGAATCAGAAATGATATATGAAACAAATTTTGGAATCCTTGTCATAAATTACAAATGATACTAACCATCTTTGACTGTAAACTCTACAGCATCTGCTTTTGCAACAACTGTACCATCCTCCAGTCTTGCTTCATAATTCACTGCAATATTAATAAGCATATACATAGTCAACCAAATTATCAAACAAAGCTATAGTCAATGATCACAAACCGAGAGGAAATTACAACATTACATATCAATACCTAACACTTCGTCCAGATCCTTTGGATTCTCCCATTTCTCTCCTTCAACGAGAATCTTTTTGAAAATCCCACCATCCTTACAAATGTCCTTGACACTAGTCCAAGACAGCAATTCAACATCGAACTGAAGTGTTGCATTAGGAGGAATGGTTGGTGGTGAACCCGACTCACCATAAGCAAGCTCAGAAGGAATGGTGAAAAGTGCATTTTCACCTTTCTTCATCGTCTTAATACCCAGGTCCCATCCTTTGATAACACTTCCTGCAGACAAAACATTAACAAGAATTTATACTTCTTCCAATGTGTAATCACGATTGCTTTCATCGAAACCAGCTTACTTATCAGAATGTAATCATAAAAACATAACCTCTTGCACATGACAAAAATTTTGGTTTTTTTTTTTTTTCAAATCCCTCAACCATTGGGCTTTGCTACCGCTCAGAAAACTCTTAAGATTGAAAAAAAAAAAAAAAATCAACAAAAAACAATCAAATAACGCTGTCCAGTTGTTCCAATCATATTAAACGCAATCGTCAAGAGAATTATTTATTAGGGTCACGCCATTTAAGACTAAACAAACCAACTTAATGATATTTTCTTCTCAAGCCTCTACTAACCAAAAATGCCGAGCATTATACCTCAAGAGCTTCACATTATCTTCAATATCTTAATTAAAAATAATACCCAATCCTTTTCATTATCAATAAATTAACAGCTGACACGTTACTAAAACAATAAAGAGCCATTATCTCATCTCTTACCTTGACCAAGCGTGAACTTGAAAGGCGTGCCCCTATCACGACTGGAATCAAACTTACTGCCATCCAGCAAAGTTCCAGTGTAATGAACTGCATAACACAGTACAACACCAGATTAATCATACAAAAAATGAAAAATGAAAAATGAAAAATAATTTAAAAAAAAAAAGGTACCTTCAACTTCATCGCCGTTGTCAGGAGTGTCCCAGCCTTCACCCTCCTTGAGGAGCTTCTTTTTGAGTCCTTGGTTGCCGATCTCCTTCTCTTCACCCACCTTCAAAATCGGAGCATCGCCAGGAAGATCCATGTCCTCGTCCATCATCTCATTGGCAGCTGGAATATCGAAGTCTTCATCCATGGCTCTCTTAGTTTGCTAAAAATACAAGGAAAGATCTAGATAGAGAGATAAAGGGAGATTAAAGTTAATGAGAATGAAGCGTTGAGTGGGCTTTATGAAGGTGGTAAGAGTGAGGCAGCTCGGGTTCCAGAGACTTCTATGATGAGGGTTTCTACTTTCCAGTGAAGAGAGATTAATTGTCACGAAACGCGAGGTTGCTTCCAGACTTTATTATTCTTTTTTTATTTTTATTCTTTTTTAATTTTTAGACTGTTATATTATTTCATTGGGCTCCTATTGTGTTGCCGTCTATAACCTGATGGCCACCTGTACCCGTACCTTATCAGTTTAAAACTTTAAATTTTATAAGGGCGTTTGAAACACTATATGAATGGAAATTAAACTTAAAAGATTACGAGGATGTTTAAGATATATGTACGATTAGTTCGAATAAATTGGCAAATAATACGTTTGATTGAGAGAATAAATAGATAAATATATTATATAAATTACTAAATTATCTTTTTTTTTAAATATTAATAATAGTATTTTCTATTATTATTTTTTTAAATTATTTCTTTTAATCCCCTATATTTAAAATTTTGCTAAAACACCTTAACCATATAAAACTTTAATTTATAGTAAAATCACTCTCATCTACCCCAAGCCACTGTCAACAGTCAACCACTACCATTGATAATCCACGGAATGGTACATGATTGGCCACATATGGCTGGCCGTGCACCGATAAAGTTGAAAATGGTCATGGATCACAAATTTATTGTCAGAAAACGATCAGATCTATGGTTATTTCATAGCCAAAGATGTTGTCGTGAAGAGGCTAGATCTTTGGCTGTGCCATTTTCACGGCTAAAGATCTAATCTTTTCACTGTCATAGAAACGCCAGATCTCGCTGTTTCCAGCCATGGAAAATGCCTTACTGGTGCACGATCGGCCAGATCTCGTGTGTCGTGCACCATTATGGCGACTAAAGATGACGACTGGCGATGGTGAGTCACGGCCAACGGTGGTCTTAGGTGGTTGAGAGTATTTTGTTAACTTTTAAACTTTTTTGTGGCTGAGGTATTTTAACTAATTTCTCAAATGTAGGGGTTGTGTAACTGTTATTTAGTACATTTGAGGACAATTGTATCCGAAATGGTTTTAATTAAGGACAAAATAGGTAGAAAAACTAGATTATCCTAATAATATTTTAATAACACCCCCTAACAAGATAATAAGATTACCCTTCACGTTACCAACAATAAACACTATTTGCAATAAAAAATTATCGTAATATTTTATTACTTGCAAACCAAACATATGAATCTTGCAAAATAAATGAAGATTATCCCCATTATCTTATATACCCCGAATCCAATCCGCCCTAAAAATTAATGAAATCTCAAAAGAATTAGGAATGAGATGATGGTTAGTCGTTGAATTTCATTCTATGAAAATATATATTCTGTAATTAAATTTGTTTATAATATGAAATCTACGTAATCCCAAGGTTATCTTAAATGAACAAAACGGTTAGTCCCAATATCTTGAATTTAAGTTAGAAAGCTGTTCTTAACATCTTTAATTTTATCTAAAATTTCCAACAAAGTTTTTTTCATTTTTGGACGATTCCTTCCCATGAATAATATTGATTTAAAATATAAAAAAAAAAAATTACATAAATTTATCTAAATAATTCCAGAAACATTTTACTATTATTAAAAGGAAGATTTTCATTGTCTCTACTCCCAAATGCGAAAAAAAAAAATAAAATCTATAGGAGTTGAGAAGGTGAAGAATTGTTGACAGAAGATGCGTGATGATACAGTAGAAATGTGCCTGGTTCTTTACTTGATACAGGAGTAGTGTTTTGAAAATCGGACCGGACCGTCCAATCAGATCGGTTCAATTGAGAGCTGACGAAATCTTTGGTTCGGTGTCCTCTGAAAACTGGTATTTTTAATCAAATAGGATTGAACCATGGTTGGACTGTCGAAATAGTGTTGAATCACGGTCCAATCGCAACTCAATCTCGCTGGATTTCGACATCGTTCAAGGGAGAAAACACCACCATTAGACTTGAAGGCATCTCCATGACAAAAGCCATCCATTTCAGTGGTCGTCATCCAGCCTTTCATCGCTCGCCGTCCACCTATAGTTCACACAACCGTCGGACTTCCTTCTTAATTCCAAAAAATTATGGCATCGGTAGAACTCCTTAACACAACCATAAGATTTGCCGGCACCTATACATCAAAAGCCCCATCCAAACTTCGATTGGCCGTCGATCGTTGCTCCCGCCATCACTCACCAGTCTCTTCGCGCAACAGGGGTGTTTTGGATAGATTTCAAACCTTAAGGGAGTACTTTTAGGGTTTTTTTTTTTTTTTTGATGAATTTCAAACATTTAGGGACTAATTTTTTTTAAAGAATATGGTCCAACCGGTCAAATCAAAAACCGGTGAGCGAGCGGGTCTAGAGGTGGAAAAGTAACCCACCCGACCCGACCCGCGGCGGGTTACTTCTTTTGACGGGTTGGTCCTAACCCGCCCGCCAACAAAGGCAAGCCGGGTTAGGCTCGCCATTTTTGGGGTAATGGCTGGCCCAACCCGGCCCGTCAACCCTTAACCTTCGAGTTAGGCTGCGGGTCGGACCGGGTTAACCCTATTCTTTTATTTTTTACTTTTGATTTTTATTTTATTTTTTGTTTTATTTAGTTAACTTTTCAAATATCAATAATTCAATTAAATTAATTTTTTTATTAACATTTCAAATATTAATTCAATTTTAATATAATAAAATTGTAATATAAGAAAAATTAAATTTATTCATTTAATTGATGAAACTTTAGTATAAGAATGAATTATATTTTATACAAGACATGAAAATTTAAGAATAAGACTTCAGTATTTAATTTTTTTATATTTTACGTACCATAAAAAATAATAATAACAATGTGTTAAATATTGCGAAGTTTTATACATTTTAATATTTATGATTTAGAAGTATAGTTTAATATTATTGTGTAAAATTATTTGTAAGAGTTCAATCATAATAGTTTAATTAAAATAATTAAAAAAATGAGAGAAACTTGAAAAAAATAATTTTTTTTTTTTTGGGCCAACCCTATTGTAAACAAATAGCAATCCGCCGGGTTGGCAGATTGCCATATAGCAACCTAATTATTATTTCATTGGGCTCCTATTGTGTTGCCGTCTATAACCTGATGGCCACCTGTACCCGTACCTTATCAGTTTAAAACTTTAAATTTTATAAGGGCGTTTGAAACATTATATGAATGGAAAGTAAACTTAAAACATTACGGAGGATATTTAAGAGATGTTATTTCAAATAAATGGATAAATAATATGTTTGATTGAGAGAATAAATAAATAAGTAAGTATATTATATAAATTATTAAATTTTTTTTTAAATATTAATAATAGTAGTTTTTATTATTATTTTTTAAATTATTTCTTTTAATCTCTTATATTTGAAATTTTGCTAAAACACCTTAACCATAAAAAATTTTAATTTATAGTAAAATCACTCTCATCCACCTTAAGTCACTGTCAACAGCCAACCACCACTGGTAATCGATGGAATGGCATATGATTGGCCATATATGGTTGGTCGTGCACCGGTAAAGCTGAAAATGGTCATGGATCACAAATTCATGGTCAGAAAACAACCAGATCTATGGCCATTTCATTTGCCAAAGATGTTGCCGTGAAGAGGCTAGATCTTTGGCTATGCCATTTTCACGGCTAAAGATCTAATCTTTTCACTGTCATAGAAACGCCAGATCTCGCCGTTTCCAGTCATGAAAAATGCCTTACCGGTGCACAACCGGTCAGATCTCGTCTGTCGTGCACCATTGTGGCAATGACTGGCGATGGTGAGTCATGGCCAACGATGGTCTTAGGTGACTGGAGGTATTTTGTTAACTTTTAAACTTTTTTGTGGCTGAGGTATTTTAACTAATTTCTCAAATGTAAGGGCTGTGTAAATGTTATTTAGTACATTTGAGGACAATTGTGTCCGAAATGGTTTTTAATTAAAGGCAAAATGGGTAGAAAAACTAGATTATCCTAATAATGTTTTAATAGCACCCCCTAACAAGGTAATAAGATTATCCCTCATATTACCAACAATAAACACTATTTGCAATAAAAAATTATCATAATATTTTATTACTTGCAAACCAAACATAGGAATCTTACAAAATAAATGAAGATTATCCCCGTTATCTTATATACCCCGAATCCAATCGGCCCTAAAATTAATAAAATCTCAAAAGAATTAGGAATGAGATGATGGTTAGTCATTGAATTTCATTCTATGAAAATATATATTCTGTAATTAAATTTGTTTATAATATGAAATCTACGTAATCCCAAGGTTATCTTAAATAAACAGAACGGTTGGTCCCAATATCTTGAATTTAAGTTAGAAAGCTGCTCTTAACATCTTTAATTTTATCTAAAATTTCCAATAAAGTTTTTTTCATTTTTGGACGATTCCTTCCCATGAATAATATTGATTTAAAATATAAAAAAAAAAAATTACATAAATTTATCTAAATAATTCCAGAAACATTTTACTATTATTAAAAGGAAGATTTTCATTGTCTCTACTCCCAAATGCGAAAAAAAAAAATAAAATCTATAGGAGTTGAGAAGGTGAAGAATTGTTGACAGAAGATGAGTGATGATACAGTAGAAATGTGCCTGGTTCTTTACTTGATACAGGAGTAGTGTTTTGAAAATCGGACCGGACCGTCCGATCAGATCGGTTCGACTGAGAGTCGACGGAATCTCCGGTTTGGTGTCCTCTGAAAACTGGTATTTTTAATCAAATAGGATTGAACTGCGGTTGGATTGTTGAAATAGTGTCAAATCACGGTCCAATCGCAACTCAATCTCGCTGAATTTCGACATCGTTCAAGGGAGAAAATACCACCATTAGACTTGACGGCATCTTCATGAAAAAACCCATCCATTTCAGTGGTCGTCATCCAGCCTTTCGCCGTTCGCCGTTCGCGTATAGTTCACGCAACCGTCGGACTTCCTTCTTAATTCCGGCAAATTCTGGCATCGGTAGAACTCCTTAACACCACCATAAGATTTGCCAGCACCTATATAGCAAAAGCCCCATCCAAACTTTGATTGGCCGTCGATCGTCGCTGCCGCCATCACTCACCAGTCTCTTCGCGCGATAGGGGTGTTTTGGATAGATTTCAAACCTTAAGGGAGTATTTTTAGGGGTTTTTTTTTTTTATGAATTTCAAACATTTAGAGACAATTTTTTTTTTAAGAATATGGTCCAACCGGTCAAATAAAAAACCGGACCCTTGAGCGGGCGGGTCTAGAGTTGGAAAAGTAACCCGCCCAGCCCGACCCGCGGCGGGTTACTTCTTTTGGCGGGTTGGTCCTAACCCGCCCACCAACAAAGGTAGGCCGGGTTAGGCCCGCCATTTTTGGGGTAATGGCTGGCCCAACCTAGCCCGCCAACCCTAACCCGCTGGGTTAACCCAAAATTTTTTTTTTTTTTATTTAGTTAACTTTTTAAATAAATAATTAATGATTTATAAATGAATAAATGTAATTGTTTTTAGTTAACTTTTCAAATATCAATAATTAAATTAAATTAATTTTTTTTATTAACATTTCAAATATTAATTCAATTTTAATACAATAAAATTGTAATATAAGAAAAATTAGATTTATTCATTCAATTGATGAAACTTTAGCATATGAATGAATTATATTTTATACAAGACATGGAAATTTAAGAATAAGACTTCAGTATTTAATTTTTTTATATTTTACGTACCATAAAAAATAATAATAACAATGTGTCAAATATTACGAAGTTTTATACATTTTAATATTTATGATTTAGAAGTATAGTTTAATATTATTGTGTAAAATTATTGGTAAGAATTCAATCATAATAATTTAATTAAAAGAATTAAAAAAATGGGAGAAACTTGAAAAAAATAATTAATTTTTTTATTTTTTTGGGTCAACCCGCCGAGTTAGCTATTGTAAACAAATAACAACCCGTCGGATTGGCGGGTTGCCATATAGCAACCTGGCCCGTTCGAGGGTTACATACGGGTTAAACCCTCTCTAATGCGGGCCATATTAGGATTGACCCACTTAACCCGGCCCATGTGTTTCATCTCTAAGCGGCTCATAGTCCAGTCCGGTTTTCGAAAAATTGTATAGAAGTTCACATGAAAAGCAAAAAGTAAATGAGAATAAAATGTATTCTATTGTTATTAAAAGAGGAAACGTCATTCACTTCACGTCACCAGGATCATCCATCTGATCTCATTCTACTGCACTGCATACTTCTCAGTCTCACTTCAGCATAGTTTTGCCAGTTATGGCACACATTGTAAGCAATAGCTTTTTTAAGTACAATCATTTTGTTTCAGATATTCTTCGTTACATGAAAAATATTTTACTACACCTTATTTCTCAACCGGCTTTAAAGTTCTTTCTTTTTTTCTTAACTTCTTTGAGAGGATATTTAATGCATGCTCATGTGCACAAACCACCTGCACAAATTACAACACTTCCTTAAAATCCAAATATTATGTCACAATGGGATCATAGGTCTTGATAAAGAACCCCCATCAGACACATCAAAGCATCATGGGATGCTTTAAAATGCAACACTGAATATTTGTAAACAATATATGCACATTCAAGATGGAGAAATGAATATAACGGAAATCCTTGATTTGGTTAAGCTTTTAGGAGACAAGTAGCAATTGTTCACAAGAACTGATTGTCTAATTCCATTTATCTTAAACTTGATTAGTTCATTGCTTACTGCTTAAGTAATGAAGATTTCTGATCCAAACTACAAAGATTATGTGGCATGATACGTAACTTTCTGCTATGTCAAGCTCCATAATTCAATAGTTTGGCCTAACCAGAGACTCCAATCTAGTTTTAGCTTACCAAATATGAAAAATGAAGGTAAAGGGAAAAACAAAAAGTGAAATCTGCTCCTTTGAATGATGACTACAGCTCATCATCCTCGCTTGATGGCTTCCCATTCACAGCAACAAGCTCTGTGTCAAAGACCAGTGTTGCTCCTCCTGTGATTTTCAAACAATCACTTATTACATCTTATCAACCACATTCTCTGATTTACCAGATAAAATCAAATGTAATAAGAAACAATGCTCCAGATTATGTTTTTACTGTATTAATAGTATCAGTATGGTAAGAAATCAAAACTCTTGTTCACTGTCATCTAGAAGCACTAAAATGGATTTATATTAAAACAGTAGTACAAAGCAAAAATCCATCCTTCTAGACTTACGTATACAGTAACCTAACAGAATCAAATTTATCACTTGGCGCACTAACTAAAGTAGCTGTAATTCTAATATTATTAGAGCAGCGCAACTTCTACATGAGCATGGGAACCGCACAGGAAGTGACAATTCTCCGAAATAAAGTTAAAAAGCATACCATATTTCATTAAAGTAGGGTATTCGACTATTCGTTACTTAGCCATACATAGAAATGAAAATCTTCCAATCACCGCACTTACAAGGACACACAATAATATTATTAATTGCAATGACCGGCAAGAGATTTAGAAACAAACGGATGAAGTAAAAGTATTACCTGGAATTTTAGGAGGAGAACCGTGATCCCCGTAGCCCATCTTTGAAGGGATTTTCAACTTTCGCTTCTCACCTACACACATTCCCAACAGTCCTTGGTCCCATCCTACAAAGAAATTTTTTTTTTTTTTTTTGACGGATCAGTAACTTCAATGCATCAAATAACAAGCTTGACATATGCAAGGAAGAAAATAATTAAAAGATAAGAATTCACTGAAACAGAGTAAACTTTGAGCGCGCACACACCTTTGATAACTTGGCCACTGCCAAGCTCAAACTCAATTGGATCACCTCTTTCAAAACTCGAATCAAAAACAGTTCCATCGGTGAGTTTTCCCTGCAGCGATAAATGAAATTTATTCTCAGTCAAGAAACCAATGTGATTCTAAAATGAGTTCATTCAACTACACAGTTAAGTTTGACGGATGAACATTCAAAAAGATAATTTAATATAAAAAGTTGAAAGCATATTTGCTTCAACAAATTGTTTCCTAGTGGTTTATGGAGAGTAATGGTTGAAGGTTCATTAACTCCCAAAAAAAGAAAGAAATCTGTATATGCAAGTCACTTACCCGATAATGTACTTTGACTCTATCACCTTTGTGAGCCTGAATGTCACAGGATTTAGGCTTGTGCTGAAAAATTAGAAGCAAAACAACAATGTCATTTGAGCAAAAAAGTATTTCGAAACTGAAAAGCAAAATCCACACAAACATCAAACAGGTCATGTTAACTTTTAATGCTTCAGAATATCATGCCAGTGTAAGCATATCCAAGACTCGTGTGATATGAAAATCAAGCGAGGAAATTACATGGCAAACAGTGGCATCACCACAAACACATAAAAAATCTATGATGTAGAACTAACATAACATGCCATTGAGGTATAAACGACGGCAATCGAAAGAAACTACAGTCTCTAATTATACGAAAGGATTCACCTTTACACCAATCTGTAACTCTGTAACATCGCCTGACTTCTTGGCAGAAACTGAAAAGGAAAACAAATTAACCCATTACCGGAACTGAATTTGTGATAAAATACTAGATTCAAAGAAAAAATTATTTGGTGAACGATCAGATCTACAAATACTGAACAAAAGTTATATTAACTTAAAACAAAAATTTAATAACCGATAACAATGATCGCATACAGAATCATTCAAAAAAAAAAAAAAAAAAAAGTTGATACCTAATGTGGAGACAACCAACAAAAATGAAATCGCAGCGGCGGTCTTCATTACAGAGCTGAAAAGTAAATGAGAATAAAATGTATTCTATTGTTATTAAAAGAGGAAACGTCATTCACTTCACGTCAGCAGGATCATCCATCCGATCTCATTCTACTGCACTGCATACTTCTCAGTCTCACTTCAGCATAGTTTTGCCAGTTATGGCACACATTGTAAGCAATAGCTTTTTTAAGTACAATCATTTTGTTTCAGATATTCTTCGTTACATGAAAAATATTTTACTACACCTTCTTTCTCAACCGGCTTTAAAGTTCTTTCTTTTTTTCTTAACTTCTTTGAGAGGATATTTAATGCATGCTCATGTGCACAAACCACCTGCACAAATTACAACACTTCCTTAAAATCCAAATATTATGTCACAATGGGATCATAGGTCTTGATAAAGAACCCCCATCAGACACATCAAAGCATCATGGGATGCTTTAAAATGCAACACTGAATATTTGTAAACAATATATGCACATTCAAGATGGAGAAATGAATATAACGGAAATCCTTGATTTGGTTAAGCTTTTAGGAGACAAGTAGCAATTGTTCACAAGAACTGATTGTCTAATTCCATTTATCTTAAACTTGATTAGTTCATTGCTTACTGCTTAAGTAATGAAGATTTCTGATCCAAACTACAAAGATTATGTGGCATGATACGTAACTTTCTGCTATGTCAAGCTCCATAATTCAATAGTTTGGCCTAACCAGAGACTCCAATCTAGTTTTAGCTTACCAAATATGAAAAATGAAGGTAAAGGGAAAAACAAAAAGTGAAATCTGCTCCTTTGAATGATGACTACAGCTCATCATCCTCGCTTGATGGCTTCCCATTCACAGCAACAAGCTCTGTGTCAAAGACCAGTGTTGCTCCTCCTGTGATTTTCAAACAATCACTTATTACATCTTATCAACCACATTCTCTGATTTACCAGATAAAATCAAATGTAATAAGAAACAATGCTCCAGATTATGTTTTTACTGTATTAATAGTATCAGTATGGTAAGAAATCAAAACTCTTGTTCACTGTCATCTAGAAGCACTAAAATGGATTTATATTAAAACAGTAGTACAAAGCAAAAATCCATCCTTCTAGACTTACGTATACAGTAACCTAACAGAATCAAATTTATCACTTGGCGCACTAACTAAAGTAGCTGTAATTCTAATATTATTAGAGCAGCGCAACTTCTACATGAGCATGGGAACCGCACAGGAAGTGACAATTCTCCGAAATAAAGTTAAAAAGCATACCATATTTCATTAAAGTAGGGTATTCGACTATTCGTTACTTAGCCATACATAGAAATGAAAATCTTCCAATCACCGCACTTACAAGGACACACAATAATATTATTAATTGCAATGACCGGCAAGAGATTTAGAAACAAACGGATGAAGTAAAAGTATTACCTGGAATTTTAGGAGGAGAACCGTGATCCCCGTAGCCCATCTTTGAAGGGATTTTCAACTTTCGCTTCTCACCTACACACATTCCCAACAGTCCTTGGTCCCATCCTACAAAGAAATTTTTTTTTTTTTTTTTGACGGATCAGTAACTTCAATGCATCAAATAACAAGCTTGACATATGCAAGGAAGAAAATAATTAAAAGATAAGAATTCACTGAAACAGAGTAAACTTTGAGCGCGCACACACCTTTGATAACTTGGCCACTGCCAAGCTCAAACTCAATTGGATCACCTCTTTCAAAACTCGAATCAAAAACAGTTCCATCGGTGAGTTTTCCCTGCAGCGATAAATGAAATTTATTCTCAGTCAAGAAACCAATGTGATTCTAAAATGAGTTCATTCAACTACACAGTTAAGTTTGACGGATGAACATTCAAAAAGATAATTTAATATAAAAAGTTGAAAGCATATTTGCTTCAACAAATTGTTTCCTAGTGGTTTATGGAGAGTAATGGTTGAAGGTTCATTAACTCCCAAAAAAAGAAAGAAATCTGTATATGCAAGTCACTTACCCGATAATGTACTTTGACTCTATCACCTTTGTGAGCCTGAATGTCACAGGATTTAGGCTTGTGCTGAAAAATTAGAAGCAAAACAACAATGTCATTTGAGCAAAAAAGTATTTCGAAACTGAAAAGCAAAATCCACACAAACATCAAACAGGTCATGTTAACTTTTAATGCTTCAGAATATCATGCCAGTGTAAGCATATCCAAGACTCGTGTGATATGAAAATCAAGCGAGGAAATTACATGGCAAACAGTGGCATCACCACAAACACATAAAAAATCTATGATGTAGAACTAACATAACATGCCATTGAGGTATAAACGACGGCAATCGAAAGAAACTACAGTCTCTAATTATACGAAAGGATTCACCTTTACACCAATCTGTAACTCTGTAACATCGCCTGACTTCTTGGCAGAAACTGAAAAGGAAAACAAATTAACCCATTACCGGAACTGAATTTGTGATAAAATACTAGATTCAAAGAAAAAATTATTTGGTGAACGATCAGATCTACAAATACTGAACAAAAGTTATATTAACTTAAAACAAAAATTTAATAACCGATAACAATGATCGCATACAGAATCATTCAAAAAAAAAAAAAAAAAAAAGTTAATACCTAATGTGGAGACAACCAACAAAAATGAAATCGCAGCAGCGGTCTTCATTACAGAGCTGAAAGTCATCTTGCTGTCCTTCTCTCGCAATCTTTACTGGCTTTGCGTTGATTTTATCAATCTGGGTTACATAAAGAATGGACTCTGAGTGGTAGGTTTGTGGACTTAAATGCATGGTCCAATTGAGGAAAGGTCAACCAGTAAAACATGAGCCTTGGCCCATTAAAATTTGTGGAAATGCTCTTCGTTCTGTTTTTACTTTTTGCAAAAATATTTAAAAATGTATTTGATATAAAATATAAAATTTGTTTTAAAATTAAAAGCTGTTGAAAACTGTGAAAACGACTTTTAATGGTTTTCTAATTTTACTCTAGTTTTTAAAATTGTCTTTGAAAACCGTGTTATAAAAAAATTATATTCGAAAACAAAAAAACTGTATTTAAATTTTATATAAATGAACCCTTATTTATTCTTTACATGTTAACATTGAGTTTCTTTAACATGTGCCCTACAAATGGATCAATTTTTTATCATATCAGTAGATTATTATTTTTTTTCCATTTTGTAAATAAAATGCATCAAAATATAAAAAATTGCTTGTTTTTTATTTTAATGTATACTGATATAATTTAAGACAATACTGTTAACATTCTGATCATTCTAATTATATAGGATATAAAATAGTACTAAAATAACAGGAGATTGGTATCATTTGGTTAAATATGGGGAAAGATCTACCTAGTGGTTTATTAGTCAGGCAACGTACAGAGATGACCATGTATCATATTTCTCTATCGATTTGAATTTGTCATTTATACCACCGGAATAAGAATAAATAAATTTGGACCATTTTTCCAATTGCTGCTAAGGATTCAAGGAATTTTAATATGGGCTCATAAACTTGTTCGAAGAGTACAAAGATTTTATAAGTATAATAATACTCGAAACAAATTTTATAAGATGCTTTATATAGATGTCCATTCCAATTTTCCAATATTGTTTTGGTTCTTATTCTCTTCAAAAATTTCTAAATTTTTCCATTGCTTTCTTTTTTGTTCTTCTTCTCACAAAAATTTAAAATGCTTAAAGATAGATCTTGCTATTCTTGCCAAAATGGCAGGCAAGGAAGAGAAAAAGAGCCTAGTGGTAAAGGAAGTCACGTGGGCAGCGTGCATGAGACAGAAGGTTTCGAACTTTCGATTCAAGATGATACGAGATGCTTGTATTAATTTGTCTTACAGATTTATATAGAAAGAGGAATAAAGGAAGGAAAAATAAGAAGCAAGTCATCGGGAAAATCAAGTTGAAGATGGAAGGAATTGGAAAGATTGTAGTTGATAGTTGGTGGAGAGCGAGCAAGAACCAAAATCATCATATAAGGCTACTAGTAACCAAAGCACCCAACCGAGGAGCTGTACACTTCCCGTCACCATAACAATCAACGTACGTTTCATTTGATTTAGCTTTACCAATATTTGATATTGTTTTCAAAATGGAGTTTTTGTTTTATATTTTGTTCCATGGCTTTCTGTTTGCAGAAAGAAGAAGCTGAAAAGGAGATCGATAAAGAGAAAGAAAAAAAAATTAACAAGCGGCAAGAAGTGGAGTAGACACTGGACTCTCATATCAACCACTCCGATCTGATCTCTAATGACAAAGCTACCTAGCTTTCGTAAAGATATATTTAATGTTTCTGCCTTGTATGGTTCGGTTGGACCATAAAAGTAGTAGAATTTCTTGATTATATATTATGTGGTGCAAACTGCAAATGTTAAAGTTAGCCTATAGTCTATAAAATCCAATGTGAATTTAATAAAATTATAAATGTAACTAAGAATTCTCTCTGTTAACCCATCCAAAGGTTAGTATTGTCTTCAATCTCGAAACAGATAGATTGTAAAGCCTTTATAAATATCCCACATTCCCACCAGGCCACCACAATGCAAAACTGATAACACCATAGCAGCTTTCAGCTTTAGTGCAGAATAAATAAATATAAATTTCATTGATTTTAATATTTGGACTCTTTTTTCGAGAATTCTTATAATAACTATAAATGATATACGAAGATAATCACATATTCTTCTTTAAGAATTCATGACTTTCCATAAATCTTGATATTTATTGGCTTAAAAATGTATAAAAGGCTTGTGTCCATCAAGGTTCAAGCTTCTAAAAGACTAAAAGTCAGACCATATTCTGTAAGTTTGAGTTATTATTCTTGTGAGAAAATAACTTTTCATAAGATAAAAATCTATAAATGTTAAAAGGTACAATCTAATTCACGGTTTGGATGCTCCCAACATATAGCATCAATAAATAAGATACTATATACTACAAGTTAAGAACATTCTCCCGGCTTTCAACTTTTGCAGCAGCAGCAGCAGCTCAAACGCCTAATATGGCACAAAATCTTCTACAGCCTGTTCCCGTTCAGCTGATATCATACACGTCTTCGCTTCAGAGATGAGAGGGAGCTTCCAAAACAATGCAGATCCCTTCCATCTCCATTTTATAATGCCCCATAAGAAAGCGAAATGGCATGAAATGGTTCAAAGAACTTTGCCTCTTTAAAGAGTTGTACCATATGTCTCAAATTATGAGCTTTCAACAAATAGCGATCAGTTCACCATCCATAGGAACTGGTAATTGAACAAATATCATTTCCACTGATAGCATATTCATTTATATGTAAGAAAGACAAATAAAGGTGAATTTCTCTAGAGAATATCTGGTTAGGATCATGACACCATATCCAATCTTATATCCAGAATTTGGAAGTCACTACAAAATCACTCAAATGGGAGATATTATCTCATTTAATAGCTTTGAAATATTTGCTTTCTCTTGAAGTTCTTATAACAGAAAACAGCTATCCCTGACGAAGAAAATGCAATCCATTCAACAAAATCTTGTAATTCTTGTCACCCATAAGCACATCCCTTCTACGAAACTCCTCAAGCAACTCAAAACCCTCATTACTCCTCCCTTCCCTACACATACCATCTAACAAAGTTTTATACGTTAACAAATCCGGCCCCATACGGTTCCCCAACATATCAAACATAACCTCAATTGCATCCTCAAATCTCCTCTCAATTGCAAGACTACAAATCAAAATCATATAACAAGTACCACTTGCCACCAACCCCTTCTCCTTCATTTCCTTATAAAACCCTAAACCCTGCCCCACCCTCCCCTTTTCACTCAACCCCTTCACAACATACCCATACGTATATGCATTGGGCTCACATCCGTACAACCCCATCTCCCGAAAAACCCTTATAGCTTCATCCACCTGAAGACACTTAGCATAAGCCTTAATGATCAGATTCAACGCGAACGTGTCAGGTACAACTCCTAATGATTTCATTTGCTTCGTTAAAGACCTAACCCCATGCAAATAAACATAACAAACATTCAACTTATTGAACCTCCTAAGCAATGAATTCAACAACAAAGTATACGTCTCAAGCGTGGGCTTACAATTCTCTGATTTCAGCATTTTCTTGTACACATCAAAGGCGCGATTAAATAACAGGTTGCGACCGCAACAGAATTTAATGATGCAATTATATAAAGGAATAGACATTTGACAGTTACCAGCAATGACTTCTTCGATTAGGGTTTCGGTTACACGGTATCGCTTTCCGGAGATTAAAAGCTTGATCATTGTGTGGTAGGTCTCGTAGTTGTGTCTGTATCCGTGTTGCTGGGCCGTCCATCGGAAGATGTCGAGGGCGAGATCGGGGTCTGATTGGGCTCGCAAGGCATAGACGACGTCGGATGGGGTGAAGCCGGGTTTGAGGTGTTGGATCCAGGTTTCGAATTGTTTTTCAAGGGGAGTTCGGGTTCGGGTAGGATTAACTGGGTTGAGTGAGGAAGAGAAGGAGCGATGGTGATAGAGTGACGGATGAGTGGAGGGAAGTAGGGGTACATGGAGAGAGGAGAGAAATTTGGAGTGTTTGAAAGCAGAGTTAAGAAGGCGACGGAAGGTCAGGGACATTATTACAGACTGAATATGGGAAAAGAAGAGGGTAGCACAATGAGCTTAGACACTACTGAGGACGGCGAGAGATTTCTATGCTGGGCTTTTACCGCCTCGGCCCAATAGAATGCCCATTAAAATGGGCTGCTGACAATACCCACACGTAGGTAGAGTTTGGGTTAGTTCAGTTGAGGCCGTATAGCGATACTCGTTTTCGATTGAAATTCAAGTTTAATGAAGAAGATTTATCGAGAATCTTGACGTCTTTTTCTTATGGGTTTTGTAGGTCATGATTGTGACGCATAAGCATGAAAGAATGGCACTTGGCATCACGACATATTATTTTCTTGGCGGATAATGACTGTATGTGATGATTCCATTTCATAAGAGTTAGTGTAAGGTACCGCCAAACTTGGAAACAGGACCTAGCATCCAAAGACTTATATCGTATATATCACATCAATAATAAATAAATAGAATACGGCTATATTGTTCAAAGTTAAGGGTTACACATTGTTAAAATACTCTCAGTAGTATTGAATCTCCAGCTATGATTATGAGTTGTAATGCTATGGTCCATTAAGATGGAAATATATAATCTAACGCCTTATCCTTTTTGTCTCCTACTTGAAATAATAATAGAATTAACGACATGGTAGTACCCAAAAAATGGCCCATTGGCATTTTCCAACCTTCAAACTTTTAAAACACTCTTTTATTACTCAAAAATATTAGATTATCCTCTGATTTAGGTGGAAAACAAAGTAATTTACTAAAAACCCTTTTCTTTTTTCTTCTCTTTTCAACCTTTTCCATTGCCAGCATTGGGGAGTGTCGGCGACTAGAAAATTAACAAACAAGCATTCTTCAATTGTATTTCAACCCAACAAACACAAATATTGTACGAATCAAATCCAACTAAAACTCAAAAAAAACCCTAAGGTGAGGAAGCTTCAATCGCTGGCAATTGGTGAGCAAACAGGATTGGAAATGTTGGGCTTTTGGAGAGAAAGATTCAGGGAGTCGATTGGTGGTGGCAGGGATGATTTTCGACACCAAAAACGATCGAAAATCTTACTTGAACAGTCGACCGTGCGAATGGAGGTGGTGGTGGAAAATGGTGAGTGATGACAACAAATGGAGGCTTGGGCTTTGTAGAGGAGGTGATGAGGATTCTTTGGATGGTGTCGAAAGTGATTTTGAATGCTAGGATAGGCCGAAAAATGGCAAATCCCTCCGGATCTGACGTTGGTAACGTGCGCCATCTTCTGCTAACGTGCACCATTCTTCTTCTCCAATAGCCACTGTTTGGTGACCATTCGACCCTTATTAATTATGGACTTTTGACCATTTTACCCTTTTTGACAACAAAAATTACTAATAAAATTATGTTTAGGGTACTGAAATGGTATTTAAAATGTGGGTGGGTATAAATTTGTCGTTGGGCTTTTTTTTAGGTGGGAACATGTCGTTAACTATAATAATATGATGATCGTATTGTCAGAATTTAATAACTTTAAATCATATGTCTAATTACCAAACTAGAAGCATGTGTGTTGATGAAGAATAGACTGACATTGTCTGCTCAGCAAAATTTAAAATTTGTTGGGTACGCGCAAGCCAATCATTTTGACTTTACGAATCCGAGAGTTTTAGACGCTAATAAGTTTCTACAAATTGAATTATTTATATCAATTAATCCATTCTCTACTTGGTCTGCATTGCTTTTCTTTTGATTTCTCGTTCTTTTCAAATTGGTCTATGTTACATGTAAGGGTTTATTTTTACCTTGATTATTGATTATGATAAATCTGTTACATGCGACAGATCACGTTGAATGTCAAAAATTCATCAATTCATCATTTCTGATCCTAATAAATTCAACAGTAATGTTATGTCCATAATTAAATTTCACAAACTTTCTCATAATCCCAACGTATTAATTGAGTTGACACAGCTAACAATGTCAACTTAGTTGACATGTTAAAATTATGAAAAAAATGTGAGAGATTTGATTATAGGTGTGGCATTATTCTAAATTCAAACACTAAAAATTCCATCAATTTAAAGTTTGAATATAGTCATTCTACCAAATACGCAAATATTCTTCAATAAATGGGATCATATTGAAAGGGTGATAGACATAGTTCCTTATTATTTCTTAGCCAAAAAGTTACAGCCATCAGTTTCCATTAATTAAAAATAGAACTTTATTCAATGCAAATATTAAATTACAATAACTCAAAATAAAAATTAACACTAATTTAAAAACACTAAAATTAAAAGAAAATACAACATAAACTCAAATAACAATTTAGTATTCTGGTAGATTAGTTCCGGATCCAGTAAGATCATCAAAATATTGAAAAGAACTAGAGTTATTACAATAAAAGAAATAGATTAATTGTTATTTAATATTGAAAAGAACTAGAGTCATCAAAATAATAATTATTTAATAAAAATATCATTCCTAATATTTAATTAATATATACAAAAATAATGAGTGAGATAGATTAATTGTTGATTATTACAATAAAAGAAAAAAAAGAATATTTTAAGGAATATTCTAAAAAATATTCTTTTTGATGTAATATTTGGTGTAGTGAGTTGGCGATGGAATATTTGAAATAGATTAAATGCCTCGATTTGATGTGTTTGAAGAGATGTTGGTCGATCCGACCTTATTGTAAAGGAGATCGGGAAGACATCTTTCCATAAGCGACCTAGGATGACCCGCGACCTTAATGCCAATGACCTGTTCGCTGTCACCCAGTGTTGGTGATGATCCCAACCTGTTCTCACTTGGCGATTTTTTAAGATATGGCTATCCTGCTTCGTAGTCGGTCACATCGCTTCGCGATTGATGTGAGATGAGGTCGAACAATCACGTCGCTTCACGACCAATAAGAAGCCCAAAGAGTCATGTCGCCTCACGACTGATGAAAAGTTCAGAGTCGCGTTGCTTCGCAACTATTGACGAAGAGTTTCTGGTAACGATATCTTCAGATATTATCCGTTGCACCTTTTGCAGTGGGTGCATTAAATGAAATGCTTTTTGCTCTAACAGACGTGTCTTATGTGCAATAAGTGTTAGCTATGCGCATTAAATGCAAGCCATGCTGAAACGACATTCCTTATCAGAGTATTAAATGCAGCTGTGGGCGCATTAAATGTGGAGGAGGGAAAAAGTGCCATCGCTTGAGCGTTTCAACGGAAGGGGGTGACGATCTGGTTTCTTGAGGCGTGATGGTCACTCTTCCTCGTTGATTTGTGACACGTGGTCACAATAAACGGTTAGATGCGTTTATCGCCCAAACGTAGTTTGATTTCAGGAAACCAAAGCGCCATTTCCTTTACTATAAAAACCCCAAGCTCCCTTCAGGCAAAGCCATAGTATTTTCATTTTCATTCTCAGAGAGCAAGAAACTTCTGCCAGTTTTGGTTCTTTGCCTTTCAGAGTGGCGTTCGCTCGGTATTTGGAACAGATGAGTCAATCTTTCTCATTCCTAGAGGTAAAGATGATTCTCTTCTTTTATCTTCCATGTTTTCTGCTTTCGACAGTTACCATGCGATAACTGTCAGTTGGTAGCCCATCGGGGATGAAATACTCTCCGTTGGGTTAGAGCCATTGGTGGTGGCTCTTTTAAGTATTTTATTAGAGTTTTTCTGGGTTTAGGGAGGAAAAACTTTCCTCCACGTCATCGTACGAAAATGTACGAAGATTGAATGGTACCTTTTTATTGCTTTTGCAGATTGCAAAATGGACCCCCAATGAACAAAGTCGATGAAGGAGCCAGCTCGCCGGCAGAGGATGCCCCTGCAGGCCCCCTTTGAGAGATTTACTCGATGCTTACCGCCGATGAGCTGTAAAGGGTGGTGAACCAGTTCGCTGTCAGTGTAGACGTTTTTCGCGATAGGGTACATACTGGCTGGGATCCGCCACGTGGGATGGTCGCGATTTGGGAAGATATCTTGAAGGGTGGGGGGTTGATCCCTTTCCACCCTTTCAACAGGTCGGTCCTCGAACACTTTGGGATTCCACCAATGCAGCTCACCCCATACTCATACATGATCGCCATTGCCATGTACATCGCATGTCGGGAGAACCGATTGGGCGAGCTGACCATGGTTGAGCTCGGTTGCTCGTACATCTTAAAGAAGAGCAAGCACAAGGATTCTTGGTACTTGTCCAGGCGAAATTCAATACAAGCGGGGATACATAGCTATCCGAGCAATGCAGGACCATACGACACAAATTTTTTCTTTTTTAGTTATGACGGCATCAGCTGCTTTCGGGATTCGAGTAGGTTCTCTTTCCTTCTAAACTCAGTCGATTTTCGTTCTTTGCTAACGAGCTGTTTATTTTCCTTGACAGTTAATAGAACGACCAATTTGAACTTGCTCGCGGACCCGGACATAATTGTTTCATTCGGTTTTCTGCCCAGGGAAAGTCGAGACGTGAGGTTGCTTGTGACAACCGAGAATTTACGGAGGTATGACTTCTTCAACGAGTACACAGCCTTAGAGCCCCCACCGAGTAAGCTTCTAGACTGTCCTTTATAATTTTAATTTAATTTAATTTAATTTAATTTATTTTTTTTTTGCTTTACAGCGAACTGTTTTACTAATGGTGTTCGCATGCAGCGACCATTCCTCCTCGGGTGTCCAAGTCGGCACGATAAAGACAATTCTCTTTCCTCCAGAGGCATACCACCAGACTAACTGGATCTGTTCCCAGCGGTCCCCCCACTGGAGGGGCACAGGCGGGTGCTCCAGTTCGACCTGCGGGAGCTCCTCTATCCTCGACTGCTCGCCAGAAGTGGAAGACTACGGCCTCGAGGCCTAAGAAGAGGCGGCAAATCCGGACCAAGGAAACGGAGTTCGAAGAGGAAGGCTTAGGCATTCAGCCCGAGAGGTTGTAGCCTTACTAGCGTTCAGCTTGGGAGGGTCACTTAGAGGCACGACTGACATTTTCACTGGTCAACCGACATGACCTGTGGCCGCAGTCCCCGGGAGGAGGCCAGGCAAAGAGTCCGCGGGACA